TTACTGTAAAGTGTTGGCTTCCATTGTCTATTGCTAATCACCTATCAGTGCTTATTACTGTAAAGTGTTGGCTTCCATTGTCTATTGCTAATCACCTCTCAGTGCTAATTACTGTAAAGTGTTAACTTCCATTGTCTATTGCTAATCACCTATCAGTGCTAATTACTGTAAAGTGTTGGCTTCCATTGTCTATTGCTAATCACCTATCAGCGCTAATTACTGTAAAGTGTTAACTTCCATTGTCTATTGCTAATCACCTATCAGTGCTAATTACTGTAAAGTGTTGGCTTCCATTGTCTATTGCTAATCACCTATCAGCGCTAATTACTGTAAAGTGTTGTCTTCCACTGTCTATTGCTAATCACCTATCAGTGCTAATTACTGTAAAGTGTTGGCTTCCATTGTCTATTGCTAATCACCTATCAGCGCTAATTACTGTAAAGTGTTGGCTTCCATTGTCTATTGCTAATCACCTATCAGCGCTAATTACTGTAAAGTGTTGGCTTCCACTGTCTATTGATAATCACCTATCAGCGCTAATTACTGTAAAGTGTTGTCTTCCATTGTCTATTGCTAATCACCTATCAGCGCTAATTACTGTAAAGTGTTGGCTTCCATTGTCTATTGCTAATCACCTATCAGCGCTAATTACTGTAAAGTGTTGTCTTCCATTGTCTATTGCTAATCACCTATCAGCGCTAATTACTGTAAAGTGTTGGCTTCCATTGTCTATTGCTAATCACCTATCAGCGCTAATTACTGTAAAGTGTTGGCTTCCACTGTCTATTGCTAATCACCTATCAGCACTAATTACTGTAAAGTGTTGTCTTCCATTGTCTATTGCTAATCACCTATCAGCGCTAATTACTGTAAAGTGTTGGCTTCCATTGTCTATTGCTAATCACCTATCAGCGCTAATTACTGTAAAGTGTTAACTTCCATTGTCTATTGCTAATCACCTATCAGCGCTAATTACTGTAAAGTGTTGGCTTCCATTGTCTATTGCTAATCACCTATCAGTGCTAATTACTGTAAAGTGTTGTCTTCCATTGTCTATTGCTAATCACCTATCAGCGCTAATTACTGTAAAGTGTTGGCTTCCATTGTCTATTGCTAATCACCTATCAGCGCTAATTACTGTAAAGTGTTGGCTTCCATTGTCTATTGCTAATCACCTATCAGCGCTAATTACTGTAAAGTGTTGGCTTCCATTGTCTATTGCTAATCACCTATCAGCGCTAATTACTGTAAAGTGTTGGCTTCCATTGTCTATTGCTAATCACCTATCAGCGCTAATTACTGTAAAGTGTTGGCTTCCATTGTCTATTGCTAATCACCTATCAGCGCTAATTACTGTAAAGTGTTAACTTCCATTGTCTATTGCTAATCACCTATCAGCGCTAATTACTGTAAAGTGTTGGCTTCCATTGTCTATTGCTAATCACCTATCAGTGCTAATTACTGTAAAGTGTTGTCTTCCATTGTCTATTGCTAATCACCTATCAGCGCTAATTACTGTAAAGTGTTGGCTTCCATTGTCTATTGCTAATCACCTATCAGCGCTAATTACTGTAAAGTGTTGGCTTCCATTGTCTATTGCTAATCACCTATCAGCGCTAATTACTGTAAAGTGTTGGCTTCCATTGTCTATTGCTAATCACCTATCAGCGCTAATTACTGTAAAGTGTTGGCTTCCATTGTCTATTGCTAATCACCTATCAGCGCTAATTACTGTAAAGTGTTGTCTTCCATTGTCTATTGCTAATCACCTATCAGCGCTAATTACTGTAAAGTGTTGGCTTCCATTGTCTATTGCTAATCACCTATCAGCGCTAATTACTGTAAAGTGTTGGCTTCCACTGTCTATTGCTAATCACCTATCAGCACTAATTACTGTAAAGTGTTGGCTTCCATTGTCTATTGCTAATCACCTATCAGTGCTTATTACTGTAAAGTGTTGGCTTCCATTGTCTATTGCTAATCACCTCTCAGTGCTAATTACTGTAAAGTGTTAACTTCCATTGTCTATTGCTAATCACCTATCAGTGCTAATTACTGTAAAGTGTTGGCTTCCATTGTCTATTGCTAATCACCTATCAGCGCTAATTACTGTAAAGTGTTAACTTCGATTGTCTATTGCTAATCACCTATCAGTGCTAATTACTGTAAAGTGTTGGCTTCCATTGTCTATTGCTAATCACCTATCAGCGCTAATTACTGTAAAGTGTTGTCTTCCACTGTCTATTGCTAATCACCTATCAGTGCTAATTACTGTAAAGTGTTGGCTTCCATTGTCTATTGCTAATCACCTATCAGCGCTAATTACTGTAAAGTGTTGGCTTCCATTGTCTATTGCTAATCACCTATCAGCGCTAATTACTGTAAAGTGTTGGCTTCCATTGTCTATTGCTAATCACCTATCAGCGCTAATTACTGTAAAGTGTTGGCTTCCAATGTCTATTGCTAATCACCTATCAGCGCTAATTACTGTAAAGTGTTGGCTTCCATTGTCTATTGCTAATCACCTATCAGCGCTAATTACTGTAAAGTGTTGGCTTCCACTGTCTATTGCTAATCACCTATCAGCACTAATTACTGTAAAGTGTTGTCTTCCATTGTCTATTGCTAATCACCTATCAGCGCTAATTACTGTAAAGTGTTGGCTTCCATTGTCTATTGCTAATCACCTATCAGCGCTAATTACTGTAAAGTGTTAACTTCCATTGTCTATTGCTAATCACCTATCAGTGCTAATTACTGTAAAGTGTTGGCTTCCATTGTCTATTGCTAATCACCTATCAGTGCTAATTACTGTAAAGTGTTGGCTTCCACTGTCTATTGCTAATCACCTATCAGCGCTAATTACTGTAAAGTGTTAACTTCCATTGTCTATTGCTAATCACCTATCAGCGCTAATTACTGTAAAGTGTTGGCTTCCACTGTCTATTGCTAATCACCTATCAGCACTAATTACTGTAAAGTGTTGGCTTCCATTGTCTATTGCTAATCACCTATCAGCACTAATTACTGTAAAGTGTTGGCTTCCATTGTCTATTGCTAATCACCTATCAGCGCTAATTACTGTAAAGTGTTGGCTTCCATTGTCTATTGCTAATCACCTATCAGCGCTAATTACTTTAAAGTGTTGTCTTCAATCGCTATTGCTAATCACCTATCAGCGCTAATTACTGTAAAGTGTTGGCTTCCACTGTCTATTGCTAATCACCTATCAGCGCTAATTACTGTAAAGTCTTGGCTTCCATTGTCTATTGCTAATCACCTAACAGCGCTAATTACTGTAAAGTGTTGTCTTCCATTGTCTATTGCTAATCACCTATCAGCGCTAATTACTGTAAAGTGTTGGCTTCCATTGTCTATTGCTAATCACCTATCAGCGCTAATTACTGTAAAGTGTTGGCTTCCATTGTCTATTGCTAATCACCTATCAGCGCTAATTACTGTAAAGTGTTGGCTTCCATTGTCTATTGCTCATCACCTATCAGCGCTAATTACTGTAAAGTGTTGGCTTGTATTGTCTTTTGCTAATCACCTATCAGCGCTAATTACTGTAAAGTGTTGGCTTCCATTGTCTATTGCTAATCACCTATCAGCGCTAATTACTGTAAAGTGTTGTCTTCCATTGTCTATTGCTAATCACCTATCAGCGCTAATTACTGTAAAGTGTTGGCTTCCATTGTCTATTGCTCATCACCTATCAGCGCTAATTACTGTAAAGTGTCGGCTTCCATTGTCTATTGCTAATCACCTATCAGCGCTAATTACTGTAAAGTGTTGGCTTCCATTGTCTATTGCTAATCACCTATCAGTGCTAATTACTGTAAAGTGTTGTCTTCCATTGTCTATTGCTAATCACCTATCAGCGCTAATTACTGTAAAGTGTTGGCTTCCATTGTCTATTGCTAATCACCTATCAGCGCTAATTACTGTAAAGTGTTGTCTTCCATTGTCTATTGCTAATCACCTATCAGCGCTAATTACTGTAAAGTGTTGGCTTCCATTGTCTATTGCTAATCACCTATCAGCGCTAATTACTGTAAAGTGTTGGCTTCCATTGTCTATTGCTAATCACCTATCAGCGCTAATTACTGTAAAGTGTTGGCTTGTATTGTCTTTTGCTAATCACCTATCAGCGCTAATTACTGTAAAGTGTTGGCTTCCATTGTCTATTGCTAATCACCTATCAGTGCTAATTACTGTAAAGTGTTGGCTTCCATTGTCTATTGCTAATCACCTATCAGTGCTAATTACTGTAAAGTGTTGGCTTCTATTGTCTATTGCTAATCACCTATCAGCGCTAATTACTGTAAAGTGTTGGCTTCCATTGTCTATTGCTAATCACCTATCAGTGCTAATTACTGTAAAGTGTTGGCTTCCATTGTCTATTGCTAATCACCTATCAGCGCTAATTACTGTAAAGTGTTGGCTTCCATTGTCTATTGCTAATCACCTATCAGCGCTAATTACTGTAAAGTGTTGGCTTCCATTGTCTATTGCTAATCACCTATCAGCGCTAATTACTGTAAAGTGTTGGCTTCCATTGTCTATTGCTAATCACCTATCAGCGCTCATTACTTTAAAGTGTTGGCTTCCATAAAGGAAGAGAATTTATGGGAGTAAACTTCTTTATTATGAGGAACGCAACGTTTCGGAGTATATGCTTACTACTTCATCAGGTGAATAAATGCTATGAGGCATATATAATCACCACCTCGTATCAGCGCCAGTAATCTTTTGGCTTCCCTTTTTTAAGTTTCCACCTTTTGTTATCTTATTACTTTTGTTGTTCTTACATGTGCATATATATGCTCTCTGCCTCATAGCATTTATTAACCTGATGAAGGAGTAAGCATATACTCCGAAACGTTGCGTTCCTCATAATAAAGAAGTTTACTCCCATAAATTCTCTTCCGTATGTGTATCACTTCTAATTGTCTTTCAAAGAAAGATTCATTTGTGTTTTTGATTATTTGAAAACTTACGGTCGGTGGCAGGGTATCTGCTTGTTCCTTCTCTTCCACACTAGCTCCATCAGGTGTTCCCCGTCTGAAATAACGAAATACACTACACAATAATTCATGACACACACACACAACTGAGCGTTCGGTTTAGATTTGTTTTTAGCCGTAAATCGGCAAGAGAGTTAACTCACTTTAAAAGTCCAGTTTCCACCCTTGCCGAACTAGGCTGGAATTCCTGGGCTCGATTGTAGCGCCACCAGTGGCTGTTGCCACTTATGTCACTTCTAAACCTCTCCTATGGACCAATCAGATTCCACCTCTCGTATCACTTGCCTTTGCTTCACATAAAATGGTGGCGACGATCTGATCGATAATCAAGTTCTATATCGTGATAAAACGGGTCTTACATCGTGAAATGCATCAAATCACGCGAGCACCTTGATTAATAAGATGAAGAGGTTTGGAAAATATCTGCTGACAACGAGTTGCCGGTGCACATGCTTTGTAAATCCTGCAATCAACCAAAATCTGCACGACAGTTTACAAACCGAATTTCGATTTCGGTGAGCGATTTCGATTTGACTATGCATAGACTCGTTAGTCCAGCCAAAATGTAACTCCATAATACCAGCCTAGTTCGGCAAGGGTGGAAACTGGACTTTTATAGTCAGTTAACTCTCTTGCCTCGGGAAGATGTAATTCGGATACTACAGCAGAAACCAAGTTAGCTTAATGTCGGAGACCGTTACAAAATGACACAGGTTGTAGACATTCATTAACAATGTGGGTGAGGTCACGAGTATGGTGGAGACACACAAATGGTTATAATCGGGGCGAAACTGAGAATAGAACCGGTCAAGCGGATCCGGGCAGCTAGGGCACGTAACTCTGCACACAGAATTATAATTTGTTCGGTCACCCATAAACCGTTGTTTCTCCCTGTAATTATACATGTTCTGGAGACCCGTGAAGATCTGGGGTGTAAAGGTCTTCAGCAACCCATACTTCTCGTAAGAGGCGACTAACGGGATCAGGTGGTCCAGTTCACATACTTGGTTGATGCATGTCATCGTATCGCAATTGCGTGGATCGATGCTCATGATATCAATCACTGGATTATCTGGTCCAGACTTGATTATTTGCAGACCGCCAAACAAACAAACATGTTCTGGAACATGTATTAAAGACGGTCACCGTGGTCTAGTGAAAAGAGCGACTGCCAAGAGAGCGGAAGGTCAGGGGTTCGATCCCCGTCGCATCATACGAAAGACGCGAAATTATGGTACTTGTTGTTACCCTGCCTGGCGCTCGGCATTTAGGGGATAAAACAAGAACTGGTCGGCTCGGAGTCAGTATACTGTGTCTGAGTGGGGTATTCATGTTAAACTGCGGCATGGTGTCTCATTCGGCTTGTACTATAAAATCGCCATTAAGTCCTGACTAGTACAGGATTTGGTCACCTTTGTTCACCTCCTTTGTCCCTGGATATTAACGCCGTTATAGCTCGCTCTCTTATCCGGCACAAGTCTGCATCTTCACTGTCTGAAATTAGAAATTACTGTAAAAAAACATTCAAACCTACACGAATTACCAGAATAACCATTTATGTTTCAGTACATTGAGTGAGTGAGTTGGGTTTAACGCCGCCCTTAACATTATTCCAGTTATATCACGGCGTGTCAGCTTTATGTGGGAGGAAAGCCCGAAGTGATGCAGGTCTAAGACATTTACCACTTCGGTGAAACCCACGAGCACGGGTATGGTGTTGACAATCCTAGAAACATAATTGGGGCGAATCGGGATTCGAACCCACAACCATAGGTTTCTGGCCTGCCCAAGGGACGCAACTCTGCACAGCGAATCGCGGCGCCTTAAGCCACTAGGCCACCCGTGCCCCCTTTCAGTACATTGGTTCAGCTTCATGATTTGGCTGGCTCAACTTTCGGGTTAAGGGTAATTCCAGAATCTAGGATGACACGCAATCAATGTCACTGTCTTATCGCCCGATCTATTTGTTCGCCTCTTACGACCAACATAGGTTACTGGAGATCTGTCGTTACCAGTCTTTGTAGATAGAACATAAGTTTGTTGAAACAAGATGCACTTTCCTGCACCCTCAGTAGAATAAGAATTTATTTCGTTAAATGAGTTAAAAACATTTTAAACCAAAATTAAATAAATACCTAACTACACACTTATTTCTTGTTTCATTTTGGCGTACCAAAGCTTATCAATCAAAAACCATAAAACCATAACTAAAAACTGATAAAATTGTATTCCTTCTTACAATCTCCCGTTCGTTTTGTTGTGTAGCTTTGTGGCACAACAAACTCCTGCACGTTGATATAGATGTCTGATTCAATCTCTGAATATATATTTGAATCCTCGACACTGTAGTCTCCCAGATCTCTGATTGGTCGCGTGGTCCCGAGATTTGCAAGTACCAATTCGGTCTTTATCATTTTCATCCATTCCTGAAACGTGGAGAATTTTGTTAACATTGACGTCAAAGGAGGGCTATTTCTGAAACTGTTTGTTTGTTGTTAAACGCCACACTCAGCAATATTCCAGCTATATGACGGCGGTCTGTAAATAATCGAGTCTGGACTACCCGATCACGTCAGTTGCCTCTTATGACAAGCATAGTCGCCTTTTACGGCAAGCATGGCTTGCTGAAGACCTATTCTACTCCGGATCTTTACGGGTTATTTTTAAAACTGTTGAGGGTTCGCCCAGTCTTCTAAGACAACGGTATTCGCTGTGATAAATAAAAGCAGCGATAAAATCCTTTCCATATCAATAAGAAATCTCTGCATAAAGCAGAGTCGATTGTACGATTCCGACTATAGGCGAGTGGGACAAAAAAATTAACAACTAACGAGGGACGCATACGATACTGCTACGATGTGTTTTAATTAATACATATCAATCTCAGAGTTCTTGTTTAATATACATGTTGTTGATAATAATAATAATGATATAATAATAACAAGCATGAAATACTCACATCCCCCGCCAATATGACATGTCGGGTGTGTGCAACGCATTAGCTCCTGAGAACTATGTTCACTGGGCCTTTTTGTAAAGAAACATACTACGTTTTTCAAGATCTGCTTCGGAAACGAGGACTAACTCCATTTTCAGTCTAAATCAAAGTCGTTGCCATGGAAACTCGAAAAATAACTCTTAAAAAAACCCCCAAACTATCCAAAGGCACTAGTTCACCACTAGACCAATCAATGTGCAAAATTTGGTGAAGAAAAATGGTACGGTTTTCAAGATCTGCTCCGGAAACGAGGACTACTGCCATTTTCAGTCTAAATCAAAGCCGTTGCCATGGAAACTCGAAAAATAACTTTTTTTAAAATCCCAAACTATCAAAAGGCACCAGTTCACCACTAGATCTATCTAATTGCCAAGTTTGGTGAAGAAATATGGTACGGTTTTCAAGATCTGCTCCGGTAACGAGGACTATCGCCATCGCCACCGGTGGCACACGTCACAAACACATGCAAATGCATGTCAATTGTTCACCTGAAAAAACACGGGACCATATGGTTCAAGTCAAAATAGGGAATTGCAACAGATATAAGTTTTGTCAAATTTGTAAATGTCCACATGTCTACCATAAAACATTTTAAAAGCTTTACTGAGAACTTGAATGTTGAAACCTTGTTCAAACTACTTATGAGCAAGAGTCGTATGATGTTGTTTGAAACCTGTTTAGATCTTGCAAGGAAGTTGATACTATACGTGGGATAGTCACAGTCACTCATGATCATTCAACCGCCTTCTTTGTGCAGTGGATAGAGAGGAAGACCGGTGTTTTGATTCCCTGCCGCGTCACACCAAAAGACGTTTTTGTTAAGATGGTACTTGTTGTTACCCTGCCTGACGCTCGGCATTAAGGGGCTAAAACAAGGACTTGTCAGCTCAGAGAAGCATACTCTGTCTGTATCCTTGTTAAACCGTCATGGTATCTCAGTGGGCTAGCACTACCAAACTGGCATCAGTCCGGACTAGTACAAGCAGCCACACACGTGCATGCACGTAGCTATGTTTGTTTGTTGTTTAACGTCACACTCAGCAATATTTCAGCTACATGAAGGCGGTCGCCTTTTACGGCAAGCATGGGTTGGTGAAGACCTATTCTACCCCGAATCTTCACGGGTAAGTAATACAAGTGTAATAATCTTGAACATGAGGCCAAACCCATGTGAAGATCCGGGAAGGAATAGGTCTTCAGCAACCCATGCATATTTTAGTTTAAGCAAAAGATGATGAGCAATGACGCATTTATGTTGTGAATAGTTTCTTTTATCATTTGTGACGGAGAGTGTGAAGTACAAAGCGAGCAGCAGCCCATGCTTGCCGTAAAAGGCGACTAACGGGATCAGGTGGTCAGGCTCGCTGACTTGGTTGATGCATGTCATCGTATCCCAATTGTGTGGATCGATGCTAATGATATCAATCATTGGATTGCCTGGTCCAGACTCAATTATTTACAGACTGCCGTCATATAGCTGGAATATTGCTGAGTGCGGCGTTAAACAACAAACTAACCAACCAACCAACCAACCCTATAATCAAACAACAACTAAACATATTCTATCCCGGATCGTCAAGGGCAGCCGAATTCGATCGCCTCTTACGATCAGCATTACGTCGTAAGAGGCGACTAACGGGATCGGGTGGTCAGGCTCGCTGACTTGGTTGATGCATGTCATCGAATCCCAATTGCGTGGATTGATGCTCATGATGTCAATCACTAGATTGCCTGGTCCAGATTCGATTACTTACAGACCGTCGTCATATAGCTGGGATATTGCTGAGTGCGGCGTAAAACAACAAACCAACCAGCCATTTCACCACTTCATTATCAGTTGTATCTTGTCATACCTTCATTTCTTCCTCTGATGAAGCCGAGAATAAATATGTCTTGTAATCCGCGTAGGTGTGAACTAATTTGAAAACCCAAGGTGCTTCCTTTGGTTGAATCTCAAATGCCCTCGAAACACTGAAACATAAATAAACACATAAGTCCCTTGTACAGTACGAGTTAGGTTGGTATCATCCTGTCTTTCATTGTGTGTATTTATGCAGGACCCGTGAAGATCCGGGGTAGAATAGGTCTTCAGCAACCCATATTTGCCGTAGAAGGCGACTATGCTTGTCGTAAGAGGCGACTAACGGGATCGGGTGGTCAGGCTCGCTGACTTGGTTGATGCATGTCATCGTATCCCAACTGCGTGGATCGATGCTCATGATATCAGTCAGTGATTGGGATACACAATTGCTGTCGTAGTTGCTGAGTTGCTGAAGACCTATTCTACCCCGGATCTTCACAGTACGGAAATAAAGTCTATCGACTGTACTGCTTTAATCGCTCAAAATTCTCTTGAATATTTACTACAAACAAAACAAAAACATCAAAACTCACGAATTAAATCCGTATAAGGAAAATGATCCAACTGGTGCACTTGCAGTTTCTTTGTAGTAGTAATACAGGCAACCTTCACATAGCACCACGAACACCTTTGGCCCTTAAACATGTGTTTGGAGCATGAGATGATCATTAAATCAATAGCAATAATAATAATAATAATAATCAAAATGAAGGAAAAACAAGTATATATATACTCAACAACAAAAGTTCCAGTGACATCAATATTTAAGTGTATTTTTCAAACAAGTAAAGTTTGGTTTTCAATATTGTAGTACATGTATGGAATCAAGTCACAAAAACGCAACTGCTACAGAAAAGCATGCATTCCATGCAAAAGTTGACTTTTATTCAAGCCCCGTGCATTTCACTACCCAAGAATGGGTATAAAAACACGTGCGTTAACGGGATTCCATATGCATTGTTTAGCATCGTGCTGACATCAACCACTAAGAAAAACAACAAAATTACGCAATTATTCAACATTACAAACTGCCACGCCTGTCCGAAAATGAGCGTCTGCGAGCCATTGGTATGCTTGAAGCAGGATCGAGTCAACTTGATGTTGCAAGACAACTTAACGTCCACAGAAACACCATTTGGTGTTTATGGCAACGTTGGCAACAGACGAATGCACTCAGAGACCATCCTCGGAGTGGCAGGCCACGCGTAACCAATAATCGTAAGGACAAGTGGATTCGAACAACACACCAGTGAAATCGATTCCAGCCAGCAAGAGTGACTGCAAGAAGCATCCCTGGCCTTCGACGAATACCTTCACAAACCGTACGTCGCCGCCTCAGATGTGCAGGGATTGTCGCCAGAAGACCCGCCAGACGTCCAATTTTGACAGGAAACCACCGACAAGCATGTCTACAGTGGTGCAGACAGCGTCTACGCTGGACGGCCATGCAGTGGGGACAAGTTCTATTCACTGACGAGTCTCGTTTTCACCTTAGCCACAGCGATGGACAGATTCGAGTGTACCAACGTAGTGGTAGAGGGAAATATCAATGGACAGCGCTACCGCGACGAGATCATCGGCCCTGTTGTTCTATCGTTTTTGCGTCATCATGGCCCAGGCATTACCTTTCAACATGACAACGCCCGGCCTCATATTGCTCGACTTGTTCAGGATTCTCTTCAACAAAACAACGTGAATGTCATCCCCTGGCCTCGCTCCCCTGATCTCTCACCAATCGAGCACATGTGGGATGAGATGGATCGACGCCTTCGACGTCAACCACGTGTTCCACAGACACTCCATGAACTTCGATTCATGCTCCAGCAGATATGTGGGACAGATATCCCACAGGACTTTGTGCGATGCCTGGTCCATTCCATGAGACGAACATGTGTTGCTTGTATCGCAACCAGAGGTGGACACACACGCAATTGATTTGTAAATTGACATTTTGGCATGTTCATGGTTTTTATGAAATCACGCATTTCTGAAGTCAGTATGGCAAATGAAACCATTTGAACACTTACAGGAGTCATTTATCTGTAGCAAACGAAATTGTTTCAGATTTGGTTAAAAACATAACTTTGCATTAAATCTAATTCAATGTCAAAGGAACTTTTGTTGTTCAGTATATAAATGTGTCAACATCACCAAATTACAAATTGAAATTTGTTCTTCTATTTCGAAGCACCTGTGGTCAAATAGTCTTAGTTAGATCCATCAGTCGCGCCGGGTTAGAAGTGATCTTCAGCAATCCATGCTTGTCATAAGAGGCGACTAACGGGATCGGATGGTCAGGTTTGCTGACTTGGTTGATGCATGTCATCGTATCCAAATTGCATAGATCGATCCTCATGATGTCAATCACTGGATTGTCTGGTCCAGACGTTTATTTCCTGACCGCCGTCATACAGCTGGAATATTGGAGTGAGGCCTTTGAAAACAAACAAACAAACAAACAAACTTTGCTTTATAAGGATCCCATAGTCGTTGGTCGGTATTCAAAATTCGCCTTCATATTAGCACCGTGCACTGGGGCTTGACCAAAGTGGTAAAACATCTAATTGAGACGTGCATCACTTTGGGGATGGGCCACATTAAGCTGAACGCCGTTTTGTGACTGAAAGCTATTCAAAGGGGCAGTTAACTCAATTCCCTCACCCGTTATTAGTGAAGTGAGTATGGTTTTACGCCGCTTTTAGCAATATTCCAGCAATATCACGGCGGGGCACACCAGAAATGGGCTTCACACATTGTACCCATGTCGGGAATCGAACCTGGGTCTTCAGCGTGACGAGCAACGCTTTAACCACTGGGCTACCCGACTGCCCCTCACCCACTATGAGCGTCCTTGCACTCACAGTGAAACATTCGTCCCTTGTTCCATAGACACTGTTTCCGCAGCCAGGAACTGTGGCCACATCCTGGCAGGCCCTGCAACTCCCGACATCCTGAGAACAATGGAATATTCCTTATTCAGATTTTCATTATTTTGTAAATATTTTGAGACTGTTTTTTATTTTCAGAATATTTGTGTCACAAGATTTTCTATTATTGATTCGAGAAGATTTTACGGTTTGATATCTGTAGGGCATCTTTATAATATATTTGTATGTCCGCATGATCTATTGAGAATCTCACCCGAGTGTCTATTGATATCAAAACTGTGGGACATCTACTGTGGGAGCCAGTGTTGGATGATAAACATGTATGTCTGTATAATATAAGTATGTTATCTGTATGCCTGTATGATATCTATATATCTGTAAGTCTATAAATATGCACCTTCATGAGTCAAGAGCGTTAACTGACCAGTTTCCACCGTTACCGAACTAGGCTGGAATTTCCAGGCTCGATCGTAGCGTCACCAGTGACTATTGCGAGTTATGTCCCTTCTATGTCCCTGCTATTGACCACTCAGATTCCAACTCTGATACCACGTGCATTTGCTTCAAACAAAATGGCGGCGCCAAGTCAATATGATCTGGTCGATGATCAAGATCTATCTGTTAATAAAAAGGGTCTTACCTCGCAAAATTAATAAAATTACTTGAGCACCTTGATTAAAAACATGAAAAGATTTGCAAAGTATCTGTCGACGCCAAGTTGGCGGTACACATAATTGCAAATCCTGCAGTCTACGGAAATCTGAACGTTGGAATCCATGTTGTTTGCGAACCGAATGTCTAGTTCGTCACGCAATTTTGATTGGACTATGCATAGACTCGTCAGTCCATCCAAAATGTAACTCCGAAATTTCAGCTTAATTCGGCAAGGGTGGAAAATGGACGACAGTCAGTTAACTCCTTTGCCTCGTGGAGATTGTATACATGTAGCTGTTTGATATATGTATGGCTATAGATCTATCTGTATGATGTATGTATATGTATGTCTGCATACATTTAGCTGTTTGATACATATGTATGTTTGAACCAAAACAATAATTCCACTGAATTACCTAGATTATCTTTTGGCAAGACTCCAATATCGATAGTTCTTTCTTTGGGAAGTTTGAGATCTGAAAAAAATAAACTTTTCATTCTAGAACCATCTCACAATCAAGGGATACACTGCCTGACAACAGAAACTATACACTTGAAAACTGGGGTTGGCCAAAACATTAAAAAAACTTAATCAAAATGCAGAAGTTGTCCACAAGTGGCAGCCTTCAGTGGACCACACATGGCGTGTCCATTTTGTTGTTGTTGTCGTTTAACACCACACTCAGCAATATTCCAGCTGTACGACGGCGGTCTGTAAATAATTGGGTCTGGACAAGACAATCTAGTGACTGATATCATGAGCATCGATCCACGCAATTGGGATACGATGACATGCATCAACCAAGTCAGCAAGTCTGACCACCCGATCCCGTTAGTCGCCTCTTACGGCAAGCATAGTCGCCTTTTACGGCAAGCATGGGTTGCTGAAGACCTATTCTACCCCGGATCTTCACGGGTCTAGCTGATATATGATGGCCCAACGGTGGCAAGCCACTACACCATAACCGAGGTATCATGTCCCGAGCACCCCATTCCTGATCGTAAGAGGCGATTGAATTGGGCTGCCCGTGACGATCCGTGGTAGATTAGGTTTAGTTGTTATTTGAGTTGAACATAGGATTGGTTGGTTGGTTGGTTTGTTGTTAAACACCGCACTCAGCAATATTCCATCTATATGACGGCGGTCTGTAAATAAACGTGTCTGGACCAGACAATCCAGTGATTGACGTCATGAGCATCGATCCACGCAATTGGGATACGATGACGTGCATCAACCAAGTCAGCGAGTCTGACCACCCGATCCCGTTAGTCGCCTTTTACGACAAGCATGGGTTGCTGAAGACCTATTCTACCCCGGAATCTTCACGGGTCGTTGAACATAGGCACTTTGTATTGAGACAAGATATGTTTGTAGCTACAGCTTCAAAGCGAGATGTTGTTTTAATTAAAGCGATCAGCAAAAATATATTGTCCTAAAAAAACGCAATTATTGTAGCAAATAATTTCCGTTTTTCCAACAATATGAAACGTAATTATTGTTTTCAAGAACTTTTGGGAAAATGTACCTTAGAGGAGTGCATTGTAATTAATAGAACGGATCTCAGCCAAGCAGAAGCTGGCATCGACGTGTAAGGTAAGAGAATACATTAGATGCTATTTTGACCTACCTGGTAGCAACTGATGCTGGAAATACCACACACTTCCTTCAATCTTCATGTTCTGTAGGAGTCCAATGACATCCGAGTCGGTGACAATGTTCACGATACCTGGTATCTTCTCCTTCATAATTTCTTTGGTGACATTGTCAGCATGGAGGACACAAGAACAAGTGTCGGCGCGACTGAAAACGAAAAAATATATTTCTGTTGTTTGTTTGTTGTTTAACGCCGCTCTCCGCAATATGCTATATGACGGCAATCTGTAAATAATCGACCAGACAATCCAGTGATTGATATCATATGAACATCGATCCACGCAATTGGCATGGGATACAATGACATGCATCAACCAAGTCAGCGAGCCTGACCACCCGATCCCCTTTTTCGCCTCATACGACGAGCATAGTCAGTTTTTACGGCAAGCAGAGGTTGCTGAAGACCTATTCTACCCCGGATCTTCACGGGTCTACATTAAAAATGCTTTTCTGGCTTCATGGAATCATGAAAATAGCATATAACTTTTACAGGGAAAATGATGACAAAATTCAAAAATATTCGTGTGTCGTCATGCATGCATGAAAACGGGCTATATATAGCCTGAAACATAATGCATTCGCCCAGACAACCGCCTCTTACGACTTTACGTCGCCTTTAATGGCAAGCATGGGTTGCTGAAGACCTATTCTACCCCAGATCTTCACGGGTCTTTAGTTTGAAGTGGTACCTCGCTGCTTTCACTAAGGCATCTGACTGTAAGACCAGCAATGTAGGCCCTGACTTCTGTAAGCGTTTAGCCACTTCCAGAAGCAGCACCTTCCTTCCACATGAAGGGTGTGTTGTCAACTCCACTTCCGCTGCGTCAATGTTATGAGTTAATGCACAGAACTGATTCAGAGTGAGAAACCACAGCGAATCTTCGCCTTCGCTGCAAACACAGTCGGTGATTGCCACAGATATCAGGAAAGCTCTGGTAACTTTTAGGTACTTCTGTTCAGACATTGCCAATGTTACTGGCACACAGAGCCGTGACGTTTTGGCCTTAATGGCATCAATTGCGCGACAGAAAAGGACATCGTCTGTCACATCAGTTTTAGTCACGAGTCCAAAGACAACACTAAATTGTTCATCCGTCAGCTGCCGGATCCCTTTCACTAATCCTTTAGCGATGCTCTGGGTGTATATTAATGCTTCACATTTTGCCTTCCTTGTGCTCGTGTCTTCAATGACTGTAAAGACAGTAGTTGGTTTTCCTGTGAGAAATAGAATCACGTCATAAAGGGCCTCCTTCGGCTTCGGCTTGGAGTTGATATTTGCTGATACAGCCATCGTCCTTGCTGTGAAGGCAAATCCGGTGTGACACGATATAGCCAGCAATCTCTCCCTGATAGCAATAAGGACCTCGTCATCAGAGCCTGGGGCCACAACTGGATAGAAACACATCCTGCCTGAAAGTGGAAGTGAAAGTGGAAGTGAAAGTGAAAGAGGAAGTGAAAGTGGAAGTGGAAGTGAATGTGGAAGCGAGAGAGGAAGTGAAAGTGAATGTGGAAGTGAAAGTGAAAGTGAATGTGAAAGAGGAAGTGAAAGTGAATGTGGAAGTGAAAGTGAAAGAGGAAGTGAAAGTGAATGTGGAAGTGAAAGTGAATGTGGAAGTGAAAGTGAAAGAGGAAGTGATAGTGGAAGTGAATGTGGAAGTGAAAGTGAATGAAAGTGAAAGTAGAAGTGAATGTGGAAGTGTAAATGGAAGATGAAAAGAATAATTTCCTTAAATAACATCTAAAAGATACATCAATAAACAAATCTATATATTTTGAAGCAGATCATGTTTAATGTCAAACAAAATCCACGATGATTGCTCTAACTACAACGAGGCAGTCGGGTAGCCTAGTGGTTTAAGCGTTCGCTCGTCATGTCGAAGACCTGGGTTCGATTCCCGACATTGGTACAATGTGTGAAGCCCATTTTCTGGTGTCCCCCGCCGTGATATTGCTGGAATATTGCTAAAAGCCGCGTAAAACCATACACACTCACTCGCTCTAACTACAATACGGTGTTTAGGTTCAGATCATTGTCCCATATATGACAAAATCTAACAGACTGTGACCAGATATAAACCAATCAATCAATCAATCTCTGCTGTTTCATAGTTTGTTTGTTTGTTGTTTAACTGTTAACTCAGCAATATTACAGCTATATGACGGTGGTCTGTAAATAATCGAGTCTGGACCAGACAATCCAGTGATTGACATCATAAGCATCGATCCACGCAAGCATAGTCGCCTTTTACGGTAAGCATGGGTTGCTGAAGACCTATTCTACCCCGGATCTTCACGGGTCACTGATGTTGAAATATGACTGGTGTAAAACCCCACTCACTCTGACCACCCGATCCCATAAGTTGTCTGTTACTGAAAAGCTGTTTAATGGTCATATAATAGTCCTTAGATGCAACAAATTCGGATAGATTGTAAATAGAAATGACCAAAAACTATTCAATTGCAGACGGATAGATCAAAGTTATTAATACCTTCTTGGAACACATGGTGTTGTATGTTGTCAAAGCTATTGGCGACTTGCCAAAAATGAGGGGGATGATGATTAAATGACTTCACATCTACTTCCTGTATCCGATTTTTTAAAACTTTTTCTGAAAAAAAATCACAATATCAGCCTTGACTGCAAAGTACGGACAGAGATGCAATGATAAAATTGTTTTAATTTTACGTTCATGTTAACATAAATAAAATAAAACCTTTTCAATAATTAAAATATGTTTCTTCTAAAAGTAGAATCCACTGCAAGATTCGGACCATATTATGAGCATGTGTTTATGAATCACTATTAAATATCGAGGTGAGCGTATAATTCCCACAGGTGGCAGCAGTCACAAACACATGCAAAGGCAATCAATTGTTTACCTGTGCTAAGGAAAATCACCTTTTTATATGATGCTTGTTTGTTTGTTTATTTGTTGTTTAAGGCCGAGCTCAGCAATATCACAGCTTAATGACGGCGGTCTGTAAATAATCGAGTCCGGACCAGACAATCCCGTGATTGACATCATGAGCAATTGGGACACGATGACATGCATCAAACAAAGTCAGCGAGCCTGACCACCCAATCCAGTTAGTCACCTCTATAATATGGACTCAGTCACATATTCGGGATTTTTACTGCCGTCCTTGATAGGACCATTCCCGATTAAAATTTGTCAAAAGTCTGATTAAGATTCCTGTGATTCACAAACAATCACATATTGTTCAGGAAGAGTCCCGATTCAGCCGTTTCCAGTCGAGCTTGTCCCCATTCTCCCATTCTCAATCCGAATCTGATCCGATTTGTATCTTCCGCATGGTAAAAAACGACAGAATCTGTCCCGACAGCGTCCCGATTCTCCCGATTGCGATCCGACAGAGATCCGACAGTGAACCGACAAAGACAGTTCGCATTCGGCTAGACCTGGACGCAATCTGGACTCAATCGACAAGAAACAGCAATGAACAATTCATGGCCGTTCATCACGACAGCATCCCGACCCACAGGACAGCATCCCGACCCACAGGACAGCATCCCGACCCACAGGACACCGTCCAGACACAGGACAACATTGTTACGATTTTGATCCGATACAGCGGAGTCTGGCACGACATCGTCACGATTGTAGTCTGACTAGACAAAATTGGCTGAGTTTCCCGAATGTTACGGGACGCACCATACTGTCGGGAGTGCTTGGCCGACCTCTCTGGATCTCTCCCGATCTGTAGGACTCTGTCACAAACAATCAGATATTGTTCAGGAAGCGTCCCGATTCAGCCGTTTCCAGCCGAATTCGTCCCGATTCTTCCGTTTTCAATCCGTTTCTGATCCGATTCTTCCGCATGGTATAAAACGACCGAATCTGCCCCGACAGCCTCCCGATTCTCCCGAATGCGATCCGACAGAGATCAGACCTGATCAGAGATCAGAGAAACGGCAATGAACAATTCATGCCCGTTCATCGCGACAGCGTCACAATCCACAGGACACCGTCCAGACAACACAGGACATTGTAACGATTTTGATCCGATACAGCAGAATGTGTCACGACGTAGTCACGATTGTAATCCGACTAGACAAGTTTCGAGTATTACTGGACACACCATAGTGTCGGGAGTGCTTGGCCGCCCTCTCTGGATCTCTACCGATCTGTAGGACTCTGTTAAGAACGTATACGACTACGTTCAGACAATGATAGAACATTCCAGATCATTGAGGATAGTAATCCGACTTTTTCACTTTTCGTGTCGTAGCGCTGTCTGATCTCAAATGGGAGCAACAATCGGCACCGTGTGAAACTGGCCTTACGACAAACATAGTCGCCTTTTACGGCAAGAATGGGTTGCTAAACTTATTATCTGAGCGAACAAGGGAACATATGGCACAAGTCAAAATAGGGAATTGCATCGGACATCATTTTACAAGTCACTGATGGGTCCCGAAATGGTGAAAAATAACACTTACCAGTTAATTGGGTTTGTTTGCAATTTGACATGGCACTTGAGACTCTGCAAAGTTGTAATAAAACATTACAATAAGTCAACATTTTTCATATATAAAAAAAACCCCACACCTTTTAATGAGTAAATAACACACAGGTCAAAATTAATACCAAAGGTTCTAGATGATTAAAAAACGTTAACCTTTATCATACTTCCATGTCAGAATGATGAGATCTGATTGGTCCACATGATCTTGATAAAATACTATGTATCCCGCCGTGGAAGGAAATAAACTTCTCAGCGGGAGAATAAGTCCCTTCAACCCCGAAGCAAAAAGCTGCACACTTTTTCAGAGTCGGTGAAAGTCTCGTGACATTGCACAAGTTAACCTCAGCTCAATCGAACGGCTGTTTTCTATCAATTTTGAATTTGTTCTAATTCTTTGATGTCATATTAAAATATATCGGTAACACAAATTTGTTATACCAGGATCATACGGAAGAGTAGTAGGGCCACGGTGATTTTTTTTTGTCTAAGTATCTCCTACGTAGGAGAAAATAAGTCCTACGTATGAGATACTTAGACAAAAATAATTCACTTATTATCTCCTATGTAGGACTTATTATCTCCTACGTAGGACTTACTATCTCTTACGTAGGAGATAGTAATTCTAAGCCATACTAAGTCCTACGTAGAAGATAGTAAGTCCTACGTAGGAGATACTAAGTCATATGTAGGAGATAATACGTCCTACGTAGAAGATACTAAGTCCTACGTAGAAGATACTAAGTCCTACGTAGGAGATAATAAGTGAATTATTTTTGTCTAAGTATCTCCTACGTAGGACATATTATCTCCTCCAGCTCGTGGTAGAAAACCTAACGCGGTACGCATTAAACCCCATGTACCCCTCGTGATACTGCTACAACGTATAATATCACTGACTAAAATCAAACTGGTAGTCACAATGTGGGTCATGGATCTCATTCATAAAGCGATCTTAGCTGTACTGACGTAATCCCACTCGGCCAAAACTTTTGAGAGCCCATGGTGCTAAGATCGCTTTTTGAGGCAGGGATGATTGCGTGTCATGGAACTCTAAGGGTGTAGATCCTTGCCCATCTGTTAGCAACTGGTTTGCTTGTCCCAGACTCAATTTTTATCTCCAGACAGCAATGTTTGTTTTTTGTAAATAATCGAGTCTGGACCAGACAATCCAGTGATCGATATAGTGGTCAACGATCAATTTGTTGGTTTCTTTGTTTTTTAACACCGCATTCAGCAATATTCCAGCTGTATGATGGCGGTCTGAAAAATAATCGAGTTTTGACCAGACAATTCAGTGATTGATATCATGAGCATCAATCCACGCTATTGGGATACAATGACATGCATCAACCAAGTCAGCGAGTCTGACCACCCGATCCCATTTGTCGCCTCATACGCCAAGCATGGGTTGCTGAAGACCTATTCTACCCCGGATCTTCATGGGTCTTATAGATTATTAAATTCATTTCAATTAATGGCAATTAAGCTATACTAAGCCAAATATTATATTACATCTCAGAAGTCGACGTTGCCATTCCAGAAGCTCTAGTCGTCTTGGGGAATCGGTTTTGTACATGTCATAGGCTTCAGGTCCAGCTCTGTGATAAAACATCAGCCCGTTGACTGCTGGAACTGCAACTTCGAGAACAAATAGTTTGTCACGCACTTGATGAAACTCTATCTTCACAGTGTCTGGAGATAAGGGTTTTAGTTGAGCTTCAACGTCAAATGGAAGAACCAGTGTTTCAGCACCGATCTTCTTCTTGATGAGATCTTTAAGCTTGGAATGTTTCTCAAGTGGAACAGCTATTCCTGTGGTTGAGTAAACTTTTGATCTGTACGCATCATATATTTTTTCTCGTTCTAGGATTCCGAGATAAAACGATCCGCCACCATCGATCTTCGTGAAGGCGCTGATGTAATGTCCAATCTTTGCTCGGTTCCAGATGTAATCTGCCAGCTTTGAAGGGTTATTAAGAAGCTCCCTCTCTATATGTTGATCACAGTCTTTGAATTTGAAACCCTTAACTTCAATGCTGCGGCTCTCTCTCAGCTCCTTCAGACCTCGTATTTTGCTAGTAGTGTCTTGGAATGGTATCTTCCGTGAAAGAAATTGTACAATGTCAGAATTGCACGGATCGATGATACTGTTGTCCAGGGGGAGTTTTGTCTTAAAATCCACGGTAACAACTGTGAGAGATGGTATCACTGTCACACCAACTACACTCCGATATTCATTCTGATCGATGCCACCACCTGTATTTCTTCCCACATCGCAATCCTCTTCATTAATGTTTTCTTCAACGCAGGTCAACCAATTCTTTTTGTACACTTGGACAAAGAGGCTTCCGTCTTCAATAAGATCATTGAGCTTTGAATCAACTAATTCATGAAAATGGTCCAGATAGCTGTCTGCAACATCCAGATCATGAATATGTACAAATATGGCACCGCCGCCCGAATTTCTCAGGGCTGAGGTGTACTTTTTTAATTCCCCAAGGAAATGGTCACGGTTGAGTCTCCAGTCTTTCTTCTTCTGCTCAGATACTGGAGGCCTGTGGTGGTTGATGAGCGATGCATCCACGTGTAGAAACAGAAACTGATCTTCAGAGGATAGAATAGTATCCGAATTCTGGGATAATTTCACGCAGGTGGCACATTCTGAAAGTAAATGGTATTGCTGAAAATGTGACAATGACAATTCTTTATTACCCGCAAGATAAGGAACGGTGGGGAGCCAAATGTATAGCGTTTAAAGCATACGCTCGTCACACCAAAGACCCAGGTCCGATTCCCAACATGGGTAATATGTGTGAATCACGTTTCTGGTATCCATGGCTGTGATATTGCTGGAATATTGCTAAAATCGGCATAAAACCGCACTCACTCAACTCACTCACCCGCAAGAGAATTCTTTGTACATATTGCTTGCAGATTGAATACATGAAATGACGTAAAAAACAAAGATTTGTTGTTGTTTGTTGTTTAACGCCACACTCGGCAATATTCCAGCTATTTGACGGCGGTCCTTAAATAATCGAGTCTGAACCAGACAATTCAGTAATTGACATCATGAGCATCGATCCACGCAACTGGGATACGCGAATACATGCATCGACCAAGTCAGCCAGCCTGACCACCCGACCCCATTAGTCGCCTCTTACACCAAGCATGGGCTGCTGACCCCGATCTTAAAAAAACCAAACGAGAACTAAAACAGTACAGAACGCATTATAATAACAATCATTTAAGAGACTGGTACTTGATGGGATAAAAGATCTTAGAGAGATATTTATTTTTTAACGTGGCAATAAAAAACGAAGAAGAAAGGTAGAAGTGCAAACTCTTGGTTTAACAAATGGTCGCGGTCAGCTAAACGTTTCAGTGATGTGCAGTACATAGAATATTCTTCACTTTTACTTGGACATGTTTTATGCTTTGAGAAATACTTTGACAATAAACAACAAAGTAATACTCAACCGATAGCATAAACTTGCAATTTCAGTTTTCCATTACATTATACTCTTCAACAGCCAGTCGCCTAAGGCGCCGCAATTCGCTGTGCAGAGTTGCGTCCCTTGGGCACGCCTGAAACCTTTGTTTCAGCACAGTGCTCATGGGTTTCACCTGAGCGATAAACATATGAGAACTGCATCACTTCTGGCTTTCCTCTCACACCATCATACAACTGGAATACTTTTAAAATAGGTCTTAAAAGGCAACTCAATCACACCAATATTCAACATGCATAGAGGTGATATCAGTAAGTCTATATTAACCAACCATGTAAGTATCAGTAGTGTATTACCCATGTAGTTTTCTTTTGACATCAAATTTTGGCTTGTTTCGGAAAAGGTACCGTTTTCAGTAAACTATGTTTATAACAAACACGCTTATAACGATCTGACCGATATACCGAACTTATTTTTTGGCCCCGGCCAACTGCTGTATATATGTTGTATATATGCTGATAAAACGAACTATACTCAACAACAAAAGTTGGTGGACACACACGCTATTGATTTGTAAATTGACATTTTGGCATGTTCATGGTTTTTTATGAAATCACCCATTTTCTGAAGACAGTATGGCAAATTAAACCATTTGAACACTTACAGGAGTCTTGTATCTGTTGCAAACCGAAATTGTTTCAGAGTTAACATAACTTTGCATTAAATCTCATTCAATGTCACAGGAACTTTTGTTGTTCAGTATACGATTATTACGAACTAAAATGAGTGGTCCAATGTAGTTCGTTATAACTGTAGTTTACTGTCTTTGCAATTTGCGCTAACGATCTAATGTTGATATCTAAATCTGGTTTGATTCGGAACATGTATATATACAATCTTTGCAATTTGCAGCAACAATCCACAGATGAACCTGATTTAAAATTAACCATAAAAGGCCTGTGATGATCCGGGTTAGAATAGGTCTTCAGCAACCTATGCTTTCCGTAAAAGGCGACTATGCTTGTCGTGGTGATCAGGCTCGCTGGCTTGGTTGATGCAAGTCATTGTATCCCAATTGCGTGGATCGATGCTCATGATGTCAATCACTGGATTGTCTGGTCCAGTCTCGGTTATTTACAGACTGCCGTCATATAGCTGGCATTTTGTGTGTGTGCAAACAAACAAACAAACAAACAAACGATCAATCAATTAAACATAAGTTATTATATTACCTTTTTCCATTGCCTCAAGACGCCATCTGAAAATATATAACAGGTCACTGTATCAGGGTGACCATCCATTTGGCAATCTGTAATTATTAGAAAGCATTAATTTGTTAAGTATGATAACATGTGTAGATCTTTTGGGTACAGTGTAATTGCTGTTATTATCGGCATAAAAAGCATAGTGCCACAACATTATATGGTTTATAATTATAAAAGAAAATTGTTTCCTTTATAGTAAACCATTTTCTGTTGATTCAGAGCCTGGAATCACTGGCCACTCAGACCAAATGTAAACAAGAAAAGCTGACGCAAATATTAGTAAAATCTAAATATTTTTTACATTTGTACACTTATCCTGCATTACTCCGTAATGCATTTACTGCTTTCTTTTGACAGAGAGACGAACTGTGTGAGATCCAGCTGCTGAAGAAAGTTGTCCCAAACAGTACAGGAAGTAGCGCCCTCTCACAGTCGGCACGTGACCCGGAAGTCATGACGTCACATCAAAACACATAACTGCTTTAAACATAACATCGGAAACTTCGTGGGGAGGCAGCGTAGCGAAGGGAGGGGTACTTAGACTTCGTAATGCAGGATAAGTATACAAATGTAAAAAACATTTAGATTTTACCAAAATTTTTAACTTATCCTGCATTGCATTGTATTGCATCTTAACAGACGGCACGGCAGGTGGGCATACCTTAAGATGTGGTCCATAATAAACCCTCGTCAAGGTCGGATGACCGGAACATCTACGACCAATCCTGTCTTCAGGAAACAAGAATCGATGCGAATACGAAACACACGAATAGAAAGAGGCGGGTAGCCAAACACTAGAACTTACCTAAGAGCGAAAGCGAAACGCAGTAGAGCCCTCTAAATCTGAGGTGATAAACATCAGAGTTCGACGGGCCCCGCTCGAGGTATCGAAGAATCAGCGGCGTCGGCGGCAATATCTACGACCAATCCCAAGAGCGAAACGCAGGAGAGCCCTCTAGTCTGGAGGCGAGGAACTCCGGTGAGGTGGACGGGCACCGCTCAGGGTATCGGAGAATCAGCGGCGTTAGCGTCGGCGCCGGTGTCAACATCTGCTACCATTCCTGTCGTCAGGAAACGAGAGTTGATGCAAAAAGTAAAACCCGAATAGGAGACAGAAATAGAATGAGGCGGGTAGCCCAAAACTAAAACTGACCTAAGAGCGAATGCTGAACGCAAGAGAGCCGTCTTGTCTGGGCTGATAAACGCCAGAGAGGTCGACGGGCTCCGCTCAGGATATCGGAGAATCAGTGGCGTCGGTGATAGGTGACCTGCTGGGCTAAAACCAGGGACCACAACTGTGAACGCCGGCGACATCTTCCAAGGCTACATCACGGAGGCAGTGGTTGGCGAAGGCGGTGTCCGATTGACAAGAACAGGCTTCCACGAGCGACTGGATGTACAGTTATACTGTGAAGAGCCATGGTAAATGCGATCCGGCGGCTTCATAAGCTTTGAGGATGACCGCCCGGAGCCACAGGGAAAAGTATTCCAGCTGACCAACGACTGCGACGAAGGGGAGACCGGCAGAAAAAAAGGTGTTTCCTAGACTTGCGGCAGGCTTTAGATCGTCGTAGAAAACCTTCAGTGCCCTTACTGGGCATAATAACGCTCCTCCTCATCCTCGGCACCCACAATGGACGAGTGCGGAGGGGATAATGAATGATCTATCAGGCTGTCCTGGGAGTTGATTCTTTACGATGAAGTCACAGCACGGTCCATGATGAACGGCGCCCTGGGTACCGCGTTCGAACCGGACACGGGGGACGTCGAGGACGTGGAGCTCATTGACTCGAGCGGCAGTAGCCCAAACCAGTAGAAACACCGTCTTCTTCCTTAGGTCGTAGAAGGAAGAAGAGTGGAGTGGTTCGAAGGGAGCCGCCCAAAGGGCGTTTAAGACCACATTCAGATCCAACGCAGGCGGTCTGAACTTGGCCTTCTGGTCTTCAAGACGGAACGAACGCAGCCAGGCCTGTAGTTCGGGAATTTTCGTCATCCTCCGATCGTCCAGGATGACAAGAACGGAGTTCATGGCGACCAGGTATGTGCAGGTGGTAGAACCTTTGAAGATGGACGGTGGGCTGAAGCAATAGCCTTGGCTGCTCTAGCAGAATAGCCGTGGGCTCATGGGGCTTTCTGCAGATGTGCCAGGCGTGCAGACGAAACCATGCGGGTTTTAGGGTGTGGCAACCGACTTCGTGGATGGAGCAGAAAGTTGGACCACACCGGAAGTTCAAGGGGTCGTCTCTGGCGATGTTTCCGAGGTCGATAAACCAACTTCTGGCCGGCCACCAAGGCGCGACCAAAATCAGTGTCAGGTGGCCTGGATCTCTGAATAACCCTGGGATGGAGAACCGGGGGCGGAAAAGCATACACGTGTAATCCTTCCCAGGAACAACTGAAGGCGTCGGATCCGGCACCGGTGAAATGTAAGGCGACACTGGCAGTTCAGAGATGTGGCGAACAGATCAATGTTTGGGGTGTCGACCGTTTGACATAGTCTGGCGAAGACCTCTGGGTGGTGCTTCCATTCGGTGGGAGCCACCTAGTTAGGCCTGGACAGAGCCTGTGCCAGAACATGCTATTGTATGGGGACTTGTATGGGGACTTGATATTGTTTCAGCTACATCTGCAAAACCACATATTTTTAAAATTAAAACTATAAGTCTAAATATTATTGTGATAAAGCATCTTGCAATGTATTTTCTGTGTCTGATAATTAGTTTGAACAGCCCAACGTATAACTACTTTTTTCAAGCATTACCTGTACAATTTGTTTTCTATAATTTTCTATAAAATCCCAGCCCCCAAGGAATGGTAGGTCGGTTCATCATATACACGTGTGTACAACAACCCAGTGACGCTATGAATGAGTGAGTACGGTTTTACGCCACTTTTAGCAATATTCCAGCAATATCACGGCGGGGGACACCAGAAATGGGCTTCACACATATTGTACCAATGTCGGCAATCGAACCCGGGTCTTCGGCGTGACGAGCGAACGCTTTAACCACTAGGCTACCCGACCGCCCCAGTGACGCTATGAATAACACGGTAATGTAAACCTCGTTTGTGGATTAAGCAGCGCTTGGAATTATCGCTCGATGGACGCCTTTAACGCATTTGTGTCAACCACAGATTTCGGATAGCTGATAAGCGACATTCTTTGTACGATATGATGCAAAAATATGTCAGCATATTTTCATAATCGATACATTTCATACTTATACAAATGATTCATATGTTTGCATGGAAGGGAAAGAACTCGTACTTCGGACCAGGACAAGGGCGCTCGATAACATCATTCCTTCGCGATCGTCTAACAATAACGTTTGGGACAGGGATTTATAAACTAATATTTCAGTATTTCAGTCAGGCCTCCAAGATAAACAATTGTTTTCTCTGAAACAATTTGTTTGTTTGCCTCACAACATGTCTCAAGCGTATATTGCTCTTTTTATGTGACTAATTCGACTTGTGGTCACCGGGCGTCCGTACAAGTGTTGTGTTATGTGACAGTGTGACCAATTTTCAAGCTTTATGATGGCGGTCTGTAAATACTCGAATATGGACCAGACAATCCAGTGATTGACATCATGAGCATCGATCCACGCAATTTGGATACGATGACATGCATCAACCAAGTCAGCGAGTCTGAGAGTCGCCTCTTACGACAAGCATAATCGCCCTTTACGGCAAGCATGGGTTGCTGAAGACCTATTCTACCCCGGATCTTCACGGGTCCACATCGAATGACGATTAATAGACAACTGGGTCACCCGTGTCTTCCTGAGAATAGAGAAACGTATGTACACTGTGTCCTATATGTTGTTATGCTTTGTCACTGCGAGAGCTGCAAAACCAGTAACTTGAGAACTGACAATACGCTCCACGTGAGGATGGCGCTTTCAGAGCTGCTCGGGCGGAACCGGGAAGACTCGTCGCATAGCACTCGAATCCCCGGTGTCAACAATTAAGACATTGCGTAAAACATACGCTGCTTACATCAGGGTCCACGGATACGACATGGAAACTGAAAAAAACCCTGCTTGCTCAGACAGTTTTCTGTTGGTTGTTTTTCTTGTCTATGGGTTACGCCAGTTGAGGTTCACATCGATGTATTTGGGAAGAGCGTGTCATTAATTTGACAACGTGTCAGTTTCACGTGGAGGCATGCGATGTTTGTTGTTTAACACCACAGTCAGAAATATCCCCGCAATAACACGGCGGCTTGTAAATAATCTAGTCTCGACCAGACAAACCACGGTTTGACATGATAATCAAGGTGAGGTGAGGTGAAATGGGGTTTAACGTCGCGTCCAAGATTATTGCACTTATATAGCGACCGCCTCCGTGGTCTAGTGGTAGAGCGTCCGCCCGGAGAGCGGAAGGTCCGGGTTTCGATCCCCGGCCGCGTCATACCAAAAGACGTTAAAAGATGGTACTTGCTGTCTGGCGCTCGGCATTAAGGGGCTAAAACAAGGACTGGTCGGCTCGGAGTCAGTATACTGTGTCTGAGTGGGATATTCATGTTAAACTGCGGCATGGTATCTCAGTGAGCTAGCACTATAAATCGGCATCAGTCCGGACTAGTACAAGCAGCCACACACACGTACATGCACGTCGCTATATAAGTGCAATAATCTTGGACGCGACGTTAAACCCCATTTCACCTCACCTCACATTCCAAGACTGTCACGAAACTGTCACCAGTGAACTGCACTTACCTTCTGGTCAACAGAACCCGCGATACATCTTCACTATCCACGTAACTGTGAGAATACCATCCATAAAATTCACACGGCAAATCGAATGGTAGTGGACTCCAGCCAACCTGCTGTAACACTAGCTTGGCTATTGCACCGAGACAACCTTCTCCAACAAGACAAGTCATTGAAACTTCCTGGTCTATAAATATATGTACCCAGCTAGCGATCACGTTACTGTACATCCTGACAATGATCTATTTGCTGACAATACTGCTCTTAAGGGAGGGGAGGGGGGAGGGGAGGGGGGAGGGGGGAGGGGGGAGGGGGCAGGTTGTGTAAGCCATCTCAATTCACTGTACAGCACTGCGTCCCCAACCCATACAAGAAACCTATCATCGTGGGTTCGAATCCCGGTTTGCCCTGCTTATGTTTCCCTGTTTGTCAGCACCATAACTGTGCAGGTGGGTTTCAAAAAGCTATAAACGTCAACACGTTTTTTGTGTTTTATTTTAACGCCGCACTCACCAATAGCCAATAGTCTGGACCGGACATTCCAGTGACTGACATCATGAGCATCGATCCACGCAAAAGGGATCGATGGTGTGCATCAACCAAGTCACCAAGTCTGACCACCCGATCCTGTTAGTCGCATCATACGGCAAGCATGAGTTGCTGAAGTTCTATTCTCTACCCGGATCTCCAACATGAAGCCGACACGCAAGTTGGTTTAAACGCCGCTTAAACAGTAATCCAGTAACACCACGGCGTGTCAGCTTGGTTTGGGTGGAAAGCCTGAAGTGATGCAGGTCTCAGACGTTTACCACTTTGGTGAAACACACGTGCACGGGTATGGTGCTGACAAACCTAGAAACATAATCGGGGTGAACCGGGATTCGAACCCACAATCATAGGTTTCTGGCGTGCCCAAGGGGCGTAACTCTGAACAGTGAATTGCGGCGCCTAAGACGACTTTACTATCGCGTAGATCGATGCTTATGATGTCAATCAATGGATTGTCTGGTCCAGACTCGATTATTTACAGACAGCTGTCATATAGCTGGAGTGCGGCGTTAAACGTCCAACAAACAAACAAAACTGAGTATGTTAATATGTTTCAACAAATAAAAATTCTATTATCGAGAGTATACTTCATTCGAGGTCTCTAGCGGAAATGGTATGAAAGAAAGTATGTCTGTAAAATATGTTTCTGCAATTGAGAAACCATATTCAGCGGGCGTACCCCGTGACGATCCGGGTTAGAATTGGTCTTCATTAACCCATGCTTGTCGTAAGAGGCGATCCACGACTGACGTGATCGGGTGGTCAGACTCCGTTGATGCTTGTGATTGTATCCCAACTACCTCGAACGATGCTCATGATATCAATCACTGGATTGCCTTGTCCAGACTCGATTATTTACAGACCGCCGTCAAATATCAGGGATATTGCTGTGTGCGGCGTTAAACAAACGAACAAACAAAGAATCCAACACTCAAACATCGTGTATTACATTACAACAAACAGAAAACAATTATTTAACTAAATCACACTTGTTATATATCCGTTGTCTGGATAGGGCAACAATTTCACAAATACAACACATCCACCCTTCAAAATGCATCCCTAATATACATTATCTTAATATTACAACACATTTCATGAACACAACAATTATGTAAACAATCGTATTAAGGGATATGTTGGTCTAATACTAGAAACCTATTAGTTTGCCTCAGGTTATACAATAACCATTCACCCGTGAAGATCCGGGGTAGAACAGGTCTTCAGCAACCAATGCTCTCCGTAAAAGGCGACTATGCCTGTCGTCAGAGGCGACTAACGGATCATATAGCTGGAACATTGCTGAGTGTGGCCTCGATCTACGCAAATGGGATACGATGACATGCACCAAACAAGTCAGCGAGCCTGACCACCCGATCCCGTTAGTCGCCTCTTACGACAAGCGTAGTCGCTTTTTACGGCAAGCATGGGTTATTAGGACTTATTCTGGCCCGGATCTTCACGGGTGATTTTAAAGCTTGTTCATTTTCTTCACATCCTAAAAGAAGCTGTACATTCTGTTGATATCTCATGTAATAAAAATACGACCCGTGGTCATAATTTATCGAACAATAAACACTGCAGGGAGAATAAACCACTCGTTTATTGTACGATAAACAGCTCCTACTCGTCGTTTATTTTTTTAAACATCTCCCTGAAAGATCCGCTCACACGCAATGTTCAACTCAATGGTAATACAGTTGAAATGCTGACAATGCAATATATTGCTAGTAAGTATGTAACAGCTGAAAATATCTGTCAGTGCCATCTGTATTAAGAATTAACTACAAAACCACCTGAATGTACAATGTATGCATAATTACTTATTTTTCACAAACTTAGAGCTACCACTGCAATAAAGAGGTATTAAACTAACAGCTATACATAGACCAAAGTAATTGTTGCCAAACCTGCAAAGCAATATTGTCTCTCATTAACATAGGGGAATTCGACGACAGTTCGCGATATCTGCATCCATCAAAAATGGTCACCATCAATAGTGTTGACAATCCATTATGTTCACATTCAAAAATGAAGATCCGGGGTAGAATAGGTCTTCAGCAATCCATGCTTGCCGTTAAAAGGCTACTATGCTTGTCGTAAGAGGCGACTAACGGGATCGGGTGGTCAGGCTCGCTGACTTGGTTGAAGCATGTCGTCGATCCCGATTGCGTGGATCGATGCTCATGATATCAATCACTGGATTGTCTGGTCCAGACTCGATTACTTACAGACCGCCGTCATATAGCTGGAATATTGTTGAGTGCGGCGTAAAACAACAAATCAACCAACCAAAATAAAAAAATGTTCACCGCACACAGTGTGCATCTTCGACGCTGCTCGCAGTCAGCAATGCTCAATGACAATACTTTTCACCACCGCCTGGTTTTAACATAATGGTCTTGACCACCACCTGTGTTACCTTGTTCACGTCACAGTGTTTTCCACTATCTCCCCTAGGTAGAGGAAAAGCGATCTTTGTTGCACTAAAAGCTCTGCCAAGCTTGTGAAAGAAATTGGTTTTATCCCGTTACAGCAAGCACACATGCCCGTGCAATTCTAAACTCAACAATGTCTGATAATGTCTGTCTTAATTGCGACCAGCCTGCTCCGAGAGCCAGCATACAATATGCCTCAAAAACAATATTGTTGGTACAATGATGTTGCTGTGACATGTGACTCATGTGTTTAGCTGGTTGCACAAGTCCATATTTAGTTAGGACCTACCTTCATCGTTGCACCTTGATTGACTTGATGTTGAGCTGTCTCGTATCTTGCTGTTGACAGGATTACATGTTTTGTGTACTTGTGTGTTCACCGTGCAGTGAGGTTTTCCCATTCTTGGGTGTTTTCCCTGTTGGCTTGACTGACGTTGGACTGACGTTATCACGTTGTTGGGTGTGTTCTCTGTTTGTTGGGCTGACGTTATCACGTTGTTGGATGTGTTCTCTGTTGGTTAGGGTGACGTTATCACGTTGTTGGGTGTGTTCCCTGTTGGTTGGGCTGACGTTATCACGTTGTTGGGTGTCTTCTCTGTGGATTGGACTGACGTTATCACGTTGTTGGGTGTGTTCTCTGTTGGTTGGGGTGACGTTATCACGTTGTTAGGTGTGTTCTCTGTTGGTTGGACTGACGTTATCACGTTGTTGGGTGTGTTCTCTGTGGATTGGGGTGACGTTATCACGTTGTTGGATGTGTTCTCTGTTGGTTGGGCTGACGTTATCACGTTGTTGGGTGTGTTCCCTGTTGGTTGGACTGACGTTATCACGTTGTTGGGTGTGTTCTCTGTTGGTTGGACTGACGTTATCACGTTGTTGGGTGTGTTCTCTGTTGGTTGGACTGACGTTATCACGTTGTTGGGTGTGTTCCCTGTTGGTTGGGCTGACGTTATCACGTTGTTGGATGTGTTCTCTGTTGGTTGGACTGACGTTATCACGTTGTTGGGTGTGTGCTCTGTTGGTTTGACTGACGTTGTCACGTTGTTGGGTGTGTTCTCTGTTGGTTGGACTGACGTTATCACGTTGTTGGGTGTGTTCCCTGTTGGTTGGGCTGACGTTATCACGTTGTTGGTTGTGTTCTCTGTTTGTTGGGTTGACGTTATCACGTTGTTGGGTGTCTTCTCTGTGGATTGGACTGACGTTATCACGTTGTTGGGTGTCTTCTCTGTGGATTGGACTGACGTTATCACGTTGTTGGGTGTGTTGTCTGTTGGTTGGGGTGACGTTATCACGTTGTTGGGTGTGTTCCCTGTTGGTTGGACTGACGTTATCACGTTGTTGGGTGTGTTCTCTGTTGGTTGAGTGACGTTATCACGTGGTTGGATGTGTTCCCTGTTGGTTGGACTGACGTTATCACGTTGTTGGATGTGTTCCCTGTTGGTGTGACTGACGTTATCACGTTTTTGGGTGTGTTCTCTATGGATTGACTGACGTTGTCACGTTGTTTGGTGTGTTCCCTGTTTGTTGGACTGACTTAATCACGTTGTTGGATGTGTTCTCTGTTGGTTGGGCTGTCGTTATCACGTTGTTGGGTGTGTTCTCTGTTGGTTGGACTGACGTTATCACGTTGTTGGGTGTGTTCTCTGTTGGTTGTGCTGACGTTATCACGTTGTTGGGTGTGTTCTCTGTTGGTTTGGACTGTCGTTATCACGTTGTTGGGTGTGTTCTCTGTGGATTGGACTGACGTTATCACGTTGTTGGGTGTGTTCCCTGTTGGGTGGGCTGACGTCATCACGTTGTTGGATGTGTTCCCTGTTGGTTGGGCTGACGTTATCACGTTGTTGGTTGTGTTCTCTGTTGGTTGTGCTGACGTTATCACGTTGTTGGTTGTGTTCCCTGTTGGTTGTGCTGACGTTATCACGTTGTTGGGTGTGTTCCCTGTTGGTTCGGCTGACGTTATCACGTTGTTGGGTGTGTTCTATGTTGGTTGGGCTGACGTTATCACGTTGTTGGGTGTGTTCTCTGTTGGTTGGGGTGACGTTATCACGTTGTTGGGTGTGTTCTCTGTTGGTTGGGCTGACGTTATCACGTTGTTGGGTGTGTTCTCTGTTGGTTGGGCTGACGTTATCACGTTGTTGGGTGTGTTCTCTGTTGGTTGGACTGACGTTATCACGTTGTTGGATGTG